ACAAAATTAACATTTGATAAATTTTTGAATTGTTTTTAGATATCTCACAAAAGGGTCAAAACACAACATTGTATATCAAACTCAAATTTTCCAAACTAATTTGACCGTTCTTAAATCAATTTTGTTCTCAAACCAGAGCAATCCTAAATTTCTCAACACCCGAAGAAAGGATATTTTAGTCGTGAAAATATTAAAGTAGAGTTATTTATGTCTTATTAGGTGAAAATCCAAGAATACCGCCCACCTAATGATATTATTTTATGATATTCTTTTTCACAATTTTAATTCCCAAGAACCTTATTACCTAGGAAAATTTTAAGAATCCTTGTTCCAAACGTGGATGACTAGGAGGGGAAGGAAATGAAATAGAGGGTTTTAGTAAGCCCTTCTCTTGATTGTGAGTTTAAAAAAATGAGGGGCGAGAATTGAGGATTTTTACTAAACCCTCCAAAACCCTCATCTTCTTAAAATTAAAGTTCTCCCAATTTGGAGGGTTTCAGGGGAAAAATATTAAAAATTATTTATCTACCCTTAGCATTAAAATGTAAAAACTACATAAATGTGAATCATTTTTAAATGTGACATCATTAGAAAAGTCTCAAATACTGACAGAATTTATCGAAGAAAAATATTTCGTCAAAAACAGTGATGAAATTTTTGATGAAAAATCATATACGTCAAAAAACTTCCCTCAAAACTAAAGACGAAATTAAAGACGGAACAGAGTTTGCCATAATCACTGACATGAATTTTTTACGGAAAAAAAAAATTCAACCAAAATTATGGATGGAATCTAAATTTTGTCAAAACTTTCGACGAAAATATTTTCGTCCAAAATTTTGACGAAACACATTTCCATAAAAAAGTTTTGACATAAAACAATTACGTCAAAATATTTTACGAAAAACATTTCCATCAAAATTTTCCCAAAAATTTTTGACGAAAAATATTTTCATCAAAATTTGTGACTAAAAGCATTTCTGTAAAATAATTTGACGAAAATTATTTTTTGTCAAAATTCTTTACGAATATAAATGTCGTCAAAACATTTCTATCAAAATTTTCACAAAAAAACATATTCATCGAAAATTTTGACGAAAAAATTTTCCATCAAAATTTTCAATGCAACACATTTCCATCGAAAAATTTTTATAGAAAAAAATTTCATCAAAATTCTTTACAGAATTTAAATTTCATCTAAAGTTTTTGACGGAAACATTTTCGTTAAATTTTTTGACAAAAAAAATTTCTGTCAAATTTTCAATGGAACCCATGTTTGTAAAAAATGTTCGACAGAAAATAATTCTGTAAAAAATTTTGACGAAGAATATTTCGATAAAAAATTTGACAGAAAAAATATTCTATTAAATTTCTTTACAAAATCTAAATTTCGTCGAAAATTTTCGACGGAAACATTTTCGTTAGACTTTTTGAAAAAAAAAATGGTCGAAATTTTTAACGAAACACATTTCTATCCAAAATTTTCGATAAAAAATATTTTCGTCAATTTTTTTGATTAAAAACATTTCTAGCAAAAATTTTCGATAGAAAATATTTCTATAAAAAAGTTTATGAAAAATATTTTCATAAAAAATTTTGACAAAAAAAATATTCTGTCAAAATTCTTTACAGAATCTAAACTTCATCGAAAATTTCGAATGAAATATTTCCCTCAAAATTTTTGTCATAACACATTTCCATCAAAATTTTGAACGGAAAACATACTATCAAAACTAAATTTCGTCAAAAATTTCGATAGAAAATTTATTTTTGTAAAATTTTCATTAGAGAAAAAATTCTGTCGCTTTTTGACGAAAGATATTTCGACGAAAAAATAATTTTGTGACGAAATTTTCGTCGTTTGCAATGTAGAAATTTTGTCTAAAATATGATCTTTTTTAGTATTGTGAAAAGTACATAAATAATTTTTTTAGAAATTTTAAATTTAATTTGTAGAATATAACAATTATATTAATTTTAAAAGTAGGGTAAAATGGTAAAAATATCTCATTGTCCCTCCACTTTTCTCCCTTACAATTTTTTAACTCCCAAACAAGGGAATATAATACCCTCCAATAGGGGTGAAAGTGGGTTGGGCTGGGCTAACCTTTGCCCCGAAAAGCCTAAGCTTACGCCAAAAAATTTTAATTTGGCCTGGCCCAAGCCTATTACGAGTCTAACTGTTAGCCTGACTTGACCCGTTTATAAAAAAACAAATAGCCTGGCTTAACCCGTTAGCCTGTTAATTTTTAACTTTCAAACAAAACCTTGAATCAACTTTACAAAATACTCAAATTCTGTTGCTAAACCAAAAATCATAATTTCAACGTCCAAACAAAATCATGAATCACATCAAAACTCATACAATCTGCATTTAAGTCACTTTCAAAAGCAAAATGCTTAAACTAAATAACAAATATTTCATCAGATTCAACAAACAAATCCATACTATGTAAATTAAAATAATTACATGAATCCAACAACACATCATGATGTTTATAGTAAGTATAACATTTCCCAAAAACTTTTTAATATATTCATATACACAATTTAACATGTTGAGATGTTGGTTCCTTCTATATAAGAAATAAAGTTAGATTTCTATAAAAATATAATCGAATATAATTAAGTTATAAATAATTACAATTGATTAAATTTATATCTTTTATTTATTCTTCAAGGCATACTTATTCTATTTTATTTTATTTAAAATAAATAGTATAATATAGGCCGGCCTGTAGGCTTATAGGCCAGGCCTTGTGAAAGTGGGCCTACGGCCTTTTTGGTAAACAAGCTTTTTCAAGGCCCAAGTTCGGCCTATTTTATGAAATATACTAGGTCAGATCTGGCCTGACATAGGCCGAGCCGTAGGCCCCTGTGGGCCGGCCCGTCCTAATTTCACCCCTATCCTCCAATTTCCTTCCCTTCCTTCCTTTCCCTCCCACTCAAATCCCCTCCCTTCTCTTTCCCTCCAAACTCCCAAACAAAATCTAAAAGAATCTAAAATTTATCCCATTACTGGACGGCCTAAGGGATTTTGTAAGTGGTAAGTAATGATTGATTTTTTTTTACTTGATATTTGTTTACTTATAATTATGATATTATTTTAATATTTTATGAACAAATATTTCCTTACAAAATTATAAAAATAAAAAATAAAGTGACATTTTTTGTAATCATAATTAAAAACATATTAATTGAAAATAAAAGTAAAAAACAAATCATATACTACCTAATTTTTTAATTTTGGTTCTTCTTTTTTTGTAAACTTTAATTTTGGTTCTTTTTTTTTTTAAACTTTAATTTTGGTTCTTGCTAAAACTAATTCAAAGTTACTTTTTTAGTTTTTTTATACTCTCGCTCGCATTTTATTATTTCTTTCTTGATTTATTTATATAAAAGAATAATTATTAGATAAAAATATAATTATAAAGATCACTCAATTATTCAATAGTTAATAAGCATACTAAGTTCTTAAAATTTAAATAAAATATTAAATTATTTATAGCAAATGTGAAACAAATTAAATTGAAATAAAAATTCTAATTTAAAAAATAAGAGAAAGTTACAAAAATATTCCTAAATCTTATATATTATATATATTTTAAATTTTTAACAAGATTACCTTGGCATATATTATTTCAGAGGTAGAATATTTATACTAAATTTTTTTTTATTACCATTCTAATTATTATTGGATCAAATTTTTCAGCAGCTTTTTTCTCTCTCTTTAGCTCACTTTTTGCTGAAAAATTGGATCCAACAGTGATTAAAGTTGTAGTGAATTGGTAGTAAAAATATGATAATATGAATATCCTATCTCATTATTGAATACTATGGCTAAACAATTTTCTTTTCCAAAATATGAATGTCACCACATATTGTTACTAAATAACTAATTTCGTAGTTATAAGAGGTAAGATATTCATACTATCATTTTTTTTATTATAACCGATCAACTATCACTCTAATTATCACTAGATCAAACTTTTCAGCAAAAAATGGGCTGAAGAAAGAGAGAAAAATTATTGAAAAATTTGATCTAAAGATAATTAGATTAATAATAGATTGATAATAAAAAAAAGTGATAGAATAAATATTCTGACTCTAGTTATAATGCTACTTATAATAAATACAAGCCAAACAAGTTATCATTTTCACCACATCTTGTTACTAGTTAACTAAATTTGTAATTACTTACCAAAAAAAGCTAAAATATAAGTTACCCTATTGAATTTTGACCATGTTTTTAATTACCCCGTTACTTTTAATTATTTTAATTAACCCCTGTACTTTATAATTGTTTCAAATGAACAATTCTGTTAAAAATTTTATAAACTCTGTTAAACCTCCTCACATGTCATATGTCTCAAATCTCAAAAATTTCATCTCTCTTTTCTTCTACGTTCTCCCATCTCTTATTACAATTTTTTTTGGATCTTTTCTTAGTAGTTTGGGATGATTTCGATTTGGATAAGAGAAGATTAATATAGAATAATCTTCACAAAGTTTGGGATGGGATGATCTTGTTATTATTTATTCACAAAGTTTTCAGCGATGACGTTTCCCCTGCGTAGAAGATGTTAATATTTTTTAAGAGAGACCTTAGGAGAACATAAATGAAAAGAGACACATTAATCTTCTCCGATCCAAGTCGAAATCATCTCAAACTATTGTAACGAGAGAACGTAGAAGAAAATAGAGAATTTTTTTTTGAGATTTGGGACTTAGCGCATGTGAGGAGGTTTAACAGAGTTTGCAAAATTTTTAACATTTTATAGACAATTTTATGTAGAGCCGCATCTATTAAAAAAATAAAAAACAAAAAAAATATTACACAAAAATTGATGATCACTAATAAAAAAAAATAATTCTCTTACGACATAACAAAATATTTTTCCTTAGTTATAATGCTACTTATAATAAACACAAGCCCAAAAAATAAATTATTAAATTATTATTACCATTATTTTGTTTGTATGTTTACTAGTCTAGTGTTGAAAATGTTGAGCAGCTGCTTGGGAACCCTAATTTCTTGTCGGTGGTGTCGTCTTGGAAAAGCTGATCTATGTTTCCTTTGTCATCTTCACAGACCGAACATGCACCCCACTGACACATATTAAAGCTTTGAACTTTGAAGCTCCCAACGAACCTCTACTCAATTTCTAGCAGGTGAACACTTTACCCGCTTCCTCTATGTTTGGGATTTTATGAGCTTATTTTTGATTTTTACACTTCTAACCTGTAATTGATTTCAATGGAGGGGTTTTTTGTGGGTATTTTTTTTTTTTTTTTTGTCTTTTTACCCCTTTGAAGTTTTGATTATTTATTTTGTTGTTCTTGTTAGTCCCAAGTTCAATGATGTCAGAGAGGGTTGAAGGTATAGCCCAATTGCAAATCAAATTCCTGATCAGTTACTTGCATTTGCATTACATGTTGCCTTAAAAATTTTGGTAGTGTTTATACTGGTGAATGTAAAGTTGGCTTAGAAGAAACATTTTTGAGGGGAAAGATGATTAACATATATATTAATGGGGTTTTGTTTTCACTCCCATCATAGCTAGGTTAAGAAATTGAGTTTTAGTGTAATATTGATTAACATGTATAAAATTGAGGACTTGTTTCCATGGCAGGTGTTTGCTTAAGTGTTATATTTTAACATTTCACATTTTCGCTGTTCATTAAGGAGTGCAACTTGCATTGCATGCACATGTTAGCGAAAGCTCATAATAAAGGGGATGGTTCTAAGTCCCTGTCCAAGATACTGGCAGGATGGAAAGAATATAATGCAAAGCTTGATTCCTGCAATGATGGGGATAAGCCGATTCGAAAAGTTCCTGCAAAGGGATCTAAGAAGGGGTGTATGAAAGGCAAAGGAGGGCCTGAGAACTCGAGGTGTAACTACAGAGGTGTTAGGCAAAGGACTTGGGGAAAGTGGGTTGCTGAAATTAGGGAGCCAAACAGAGGGAATAGGCTATGGCTTGGTACTTTCTCCACTGCCATTGGTGCTGCTCTTGCATATGATGAAGCTGCAAGGGCAATGTATGGTTCTTCTGCCCGCCTCAACTTTCCCAATGTTTCAGTTTCCAGTTTCTCTGAGGAATCTTCAAAAGATTCTCCGGTTGCAAATCAATCTGGTTCCTCAATGGCTGTATCAGCAAATACCGAGTTGATCATGTCACCAAATAACTCTGTGATAGGCACAGAAGGGGATGTTGATATGAAACCCATTTCCTTATCCTTATGTGTAAAACATGAGAATGGGGATGGGGAATCAGGGATCAATTCCTCCCCTCCTTCATCCACATGATGTACATTATGGATACTCTGATTTGGATATTGCATTTTTAGCCCTGGTACTTGCTAATGATTAGCTTAGGGTTAATGAATCTTGATGTATGGTCCTGGAGATTAGCTGTTGTAAAAACTGAAATGAACTTGGTTGCAAAGTGGTCATTTCTTCTGGTTTTGGCCTAATGCACACTGGATATGATATCCAGTCAAGTTTTAACTCATAAGATGTGAATTATATTTTACTTTGAATGATGGAAGATGACTCTTACCCCCCATTCCCTAATTTGTTCTTTTCTCTATTTCACACTGCATAATGTTGTGTGATTTCTCCTGCTAAAATTATTAGACCCACTGAATGTGTGAATGTGGTTCATTGAATTTCAGATACTTCCATTTCTGATGTAATTTTTTATTTCTTGCACACTGGATTTGCCATGGATGATTGGGTTATTATTGGATTATATGGAATGGTAGCTATTTGAATGGTATAATCAATCTCCATGATTCTGGAACTAGGAAGAAAGCAGGAAATGTTCATATGAGCTGGATTTCTTGTTGTTCTAAACCAACATGGATGTGAATCTCTGAATTTTTATTTTATTTTTTCACTGTCAGATGTTTCTCATGCTGTGTCTACTGTGACCCTCCACTGGGAATACCATTGTACCAGTACCAGGTTTCTTTCAATTATATAAATGAGAAGCTTCCATGAATTAATTATGTATTATCGTGTATCAAATTTGGATGCGGAAGTGTCAATTTGAATTAATATAAAAATTACGAATTATGAGATTGATATAAAATCATTTATGTAGTTTCATCCACCAACTTAAACTTTTGTATTGAATTGATTTTTTACATGATATTAGATTCTCGGTATTTCGAGTTTGATTCTTGCCGTTTTTTGTTTTCTTTGTGAAATTTTTTAGCACATGGACCTGATGTATTATTTACTTTTCAAGTCAAATAGGTTCTCTTGTGATGGAACATATTATAGATATATAAAATCATTAATATAGTATCATCTAACAACTTAAGTTTTTGAGTTGAATTAGTTCTTTACAGGGATTTTGAAAAATGACATTCAATTATCCGTTCTACTTCAACATTATTTGCATATTATTTTTTGGGTCAATCTAAAAGTTAATCATTTATGATTATCTCCCAATTTCATTTGGTTAATTTCTTGGTATTTCTATTCATGTATAGTAGAGAAGTGATCACTTTACAAGGTATAAATATAAATACAAGCTTATCTGAAAATACATAAATACAAGCTTGTTAGCCGGAATAAACAGATAGTTTCTTTTGGATCTGGATCCTCTCATGTGAAAATTCACATCACCATGTCATGTGAGAAATCATAACCATACAAAGATAGATCAATGGTAATAAAGGAGGAGAGAAAAAAATGTTAAGATAAATAGTTACGAAATCGTAACTGTTGATTTACCTTTGTATGGTTGTGATCTTCCCATATGACCATATCATGTTTTTTTTTCAACATGAGAGGATCCATTTCTGTTTGTTTTAGCTCTTGAAATGACTTTTTTTTTTTTTAATGGGCACAAAGTACATTAACTTGATAATTTGATAGTGATTGCGCCTATCTTTTTGGGCCTATTAATGAATTTTGCAGCCGAATTGTGAGGTTTGCCTTTTTCTTTGTTTATGAGTGATGGAAACTGGTCTTAAATGATGAATATTGTATTACCAGCCCTTTCGGCCGATTGAATAGGCTGAGTTTAGAATAACCAGTTTGTACACAACACAACCCAACCTATTCATGGACCCGTAGTGATTGTATCATTTACATAGCCATCCAACACAAAATGTTTTTGAACTTAGCCTGTCTTATGAATCATGAGTTGAAACTGTCGTAGTAATTTATTTATGGATTTAATGGTTATGCTTTTGTTACATAAAATAAGTTGGTCTCGATGTAAAGAGAAGAGAGAGGAAAAATTAGTGGAATTCACTCACTTTTATGTAAGTGTGACAACAAATTTTTCCACAGCAAAAACATAAATATTTTTCCTATTATTTGTAGGGTTTAAAGTTTTTCATGTTTTAGGAGAGAAAATTATTTCTTATACACATATAAAGTGTGTGGGGACTATGTGAGGTCATATGAGGAGAAAAAAAAAAAAATAGGTTCCATACACTTTTATGTATGTTGAAGATAATTTTATCTCTTATAACATGATAAACTTTAAACCTTTATTTTTTATACTGTTTTTTGTTTTCTTTTTCAAAAAAGAGTATAACTAGCATTGATTTAATTGAAATTGTATTGTGATCTTAACTTACTAAAATTTAAGAGTGGATATACTTTTAATTATATTCATTTTGAAAATAAGCTCACTTAAAAGTGTTTTCTCTCTCTTGCTTATAGCTATTAATGGATTGAAATACTCTAAACTGAGTTCGCTTTAAAAAAAAAAAGTGATGGACCTTAACTATATGATGAAAAAATTAAGGGAATAAATTCATAGTTTATTATGCATGAGTATGTATTTTATCACAATATTAACCTTCAATATTTCATCAATGATTAATTTTTTTTTTTGGGAAACATCAATGATTAAAATTTTACACCGCTAAAAGGAATCTCTCACTTTACGGCGTAAACTTCTATTTGTTTTTGGATATCATAAATCGTGCCTAATGAGAAAGTATTCTGTAATAATCTTTTGTTTAAATGAAAAAAAAAACCGAAAAAGACTTAAACAAATGTGATATAATAACCCAAATAATTAAAATGGGTATTTAGGAATTATTTTTGTTGGAAAGAATATCTTTATTATTTGTAAAGATCTATTTCTTTATTTCATTAGTATTTAGGTTAAGTATGAGCTAAGCTCATTAGTGTTTTTTAATATATTGTAGTCTCCTGAATCAATTCAATATACAGATTTATTTCTATGTTTCTCTCGTCTCTTGTTATTTAACATGATATCTAGAGCCTAACGAGAGGAATCCTTGTCTGCCTTTTCTTATTTCTTTTTTTCCATAATTTTAATATGGTAGTAGAGAGATATCACCCACCGTGAGGGACTGACTTTCCCGTCTGTTCCCTTACTCTCCCTGCTTCTCTTAGTTTCTTCTTCTCGTTCTTGTCTTCTATCGAAGACCCAACCACCACCGTTCCGATTGTCTTCCACGCGCGTTCGCTGTCGTTCAAGTTGCACCTCCAACAACTGTCGCATGTTTTAGCAAGGAGCTGTGTGTTTTTCTGCACAACATCTTCCTTCCGCTTGTGACAGCGCGTGAGACCTCCTTTGGTCGCGTCTCTTTCCTTCGGCCACATAATTTTTTCTCCTCTTGCCGAATCTTGTTTCTTCCGGCTGTGTTTTCTTCTTCTTCGGTGATTTATTGTTTTTATTTGTTTTCTTTTATGGCTTGTATTTGGCCAATTTTATTTTATTCCCACATATGTTCGTGGTGTTATTTAAGTCTGATTTGACTTGTATTTGATTTATTTTTTCCATTGTTTGGCTTTTTTTTGGCCTTCCATTCAAGGGGAACATTTATCTTCGTTGTTTCCTGGTCCGCAAATTATTCGAGTTACATTGGCTCCATCGGCGTGTATTCCAGTTGCAGCATTTATCTCTATTGTTGCGTGGTCCGCGATTATTTCAGTTACACTGGCTTCGTCGGCTTGTATTCTAGTTGCAACATTGTATTTTTCCCAGCCCTTCATTGGTTGATGCCTTTTTTTTCCATTGCTGATGTCCATTCCAACACCGTCTCTTTACCAGCTCTTCAAACTGATGGTCATTCCAGTTGATTTGTTGTCGATTTCTCCGACTTATATTCCGTGAAGCTTCGTTTTAGTTTTCTTTCCTCCTAAGATGAAGTGTACTTCCATCTTGAAGGGGATTATTAGAGATATAGATAATATTTTATTTTAGTTTATTATGTTTGTTATTTTTCGTAGGAAGAGTTGTAGAGTTGTTACAACCCCCACTCGTTTATTTTGATGTTATATTTCTTAATCTTTCTTGTTCAAGCTTGTTGCTTACGATCTATACGCTTCAGCTTTGGGGGGTGTTGGAAAGAATATCTTTAGAATATCTTTATTATTTGTAAAGATCTATTTTCTTATTTCATTAGGATTTATGTTAGGTATGGGCTAAGCCCATTAATGTTTCTTTATATATTGTACTCTCCTGAATCAATTCAATATACATATTTATTTCAATGTTCCTCTCATCTCTTGTCATTTCACAATTTTAAATATTAAAAGAAATTAATTAGATAAAAAATATAATCATTTAAACTAAAATCACTTTTCGGTATAAAAGTGTGAATAGTAAAATTTTGTGATAAAAATACAATTAGGCAAAATTACAAACTTAAAAATAAATTAGTGGAACCTGCTCCATAAATGTTAAGAGCCCAAAATCTCATAAAGAATATTTTGAGTTAGTGGTTGAAAGAGAGTTAAATGAGTGAGGTAAAAGAATAATTACCCAATTGGGATATTTCTCTGAGTTAAAAGCAATTAGATTTACACACACTCTTCACTTCCTCCTCCTCACTCCTATAAGTCTCCCTTCTTTTTCCTTCTCACCACCGAAAGCTTACCCTTCCCATTTGTTGAAGATTACCATCAACCAAGCAAGGAAATGAATGGGAAATCTTCATCCATTCCACTAAATACACAATAGAGGACAAAGTCCATTCATCATCTTCATCTCTAAAGCTTTTGTTGGAGAGAAAGAGGTCACCCCCACAAAACACCATTTTCGTGCATCTTCAAGGAGGAGCTTGAGAAGTGATTTTAAAGCTTGGAAAGTCTCTCATTTTAGCTTGATTGAAGCTTCCAAGTGTGGAACCAAGTGAAATCTTAGTGGATGAGCATCCTTTGGATCAAGCCATTGGAGAAGACTTGGATTTTTAAGTATTCCAAGTGTAAGGTGGTTCTAGTGTGGAACGTTGTGGTTTGGTTTCTTGAACTAGAAGAAAACTTAGACAAGGAAAGTGCTATAGCACCTAGCTTCAAGAGATAAGCTTTCGGTCATTGGGGTTACTCGTCAGTTTGTTCCTCCAGACTCTGAGGGAGGATGATTCTTTGATATATGGTATTTGAATAATTAAATTGTTATATAGTGCATGTATATGTATGTATGTTTGTGTGCCCCACAAGACGGTGTTTTCTTATGCATAGTATGAGATGGTGTTTCCTCATACGTGTATGTTGCAAGACGATATTTTCTTGTGTAATGCATATATGTTGTATTATTTGACCAGTAGGATTCATTATTGCACACATACATTGATATACATATTCTGATACATACATGATTTTATACCGTGGTTATACCTGAAGTGAACCTAGGGGTTGAGGAGCCCTTCAAGGACCCCTAGTT